AGATAGCTTCCCGAGTCCCCTTCCCCCGAGATTTCCAAGTGGGTAGAGCCCAGGAATCCTTAGGAGATTTTACAGGCGGGCATCTGCAGACCACACTCGGGGTCCCCATCCCAGATGGCCTCCAGTGTCCCAGCTGTGCCCTAGCTGCTGCCACCAAACGGTGAGGGCCCCGCTGGCTGGCCGCTGTGCATCGTGGGTGAGTTCCTGACCTCCAGAATCGGTCTTTCTCCACACAGGGGCCACTGGGTTGGCCTGAGGACCAAACAAGGCTGGGAAAGGCCTCTGTCTACCCCACAAACCCCAAAATGGGGCAAGTGAGAAGGCCTCTGATTCCAGGGAGGCAGGCTGGGGGGCACTGGAATTAGATGGAGGCCAGAGAGGAGCCTGGCTAGCAAATGGGGAAACGAGGGTCAGCCCTGGAGAACCTTGGAAAGAAAAGCCCTTTGAACCAGCCGCAGCGACTGGGCTGGGAAGTGCGCTGAGAAGGGCTCCAGGTGCTGGAAGGAAACACCCATCTCACGAGCACCTACTGTGTGCACGTATTGTGCGCATATGTCTCTTTTCCCTCCCGACAACTCTGCCAAGGAGGTGAGATTTGTTCCCATTTGACAGAGAAGACTGAGGCTTAAAGAAGGAAAGCCACAGGGTCAGGGTCACCCGGCCAGCGACACAAGAGGCGGGTGGACAGCCAGCAACGCTGATGGAACAGCTCTGCATGCCTGTGCTGTGCCGGCTGAAGGAAGAGCGCCCAGAACCCCACCAACCACCCTGTGAAATACTCCTGCTCCCCGCTAACAGATGAGGAAACAGCTTAGGAAGGTCCCTTCCCAAGATCACCTGGCCAGGTGAGGGCAGAACGGGCATGGAACCCAGCTCTGCCCCTTTCTACCCCCCTGGGCTACTGGGAGGCAGGGAGGAGAGAAGGGTGAGCCAATAATAGCTAGCACTTAGTAGGTGCTTTGTGTCAAGCACTATTGTAAGCAGTCTACACAAACTAATAAATTTAACCCTTGCGATATTCATCCATGGGAAGCAGGTAGGTGCAGTCATTATGGCCCTGTTTCCTGGTGAAGAAACCGAGCACAGACAGGTAAAGCCATGTTGCCAGCTGGAATTCAAACCCAGGCCGTCCAGCTGCTGCTTCTCCGTGATAGGAAGGGCTAGATATTAGGGCAGGACAGGAGCTGCTTGGGCTTAGGGCTGCAGCCAGGAGAGCCCCACAAGAGGAGAGCAGGTACCAGAAATCCCACCATTAGAGCCCTGGTCAGCCAAGCCCAAAAGGTTCCACCTCACTGGGGTACAGGCCTGCAATTCTAATAATGGCCACTAGATGGCAGGGCTGCCCAGGTGGTGGTGGACCCACCGGCCAGCGCAAACCCGAAGGAGGTCAGGTCGCCTTCCCATGGGGCCGGCAGCAGGGACCCAGTCACCCACCTCCACCTCCCCCGAGAATTAGGTCGTACGGGGCCTGCTGTGGTTTCAAAGGGTCAGATTCAGGCGCAGGCAGAGGTCTGGAGCGAGGTCCCACTGGCAGTGGGAGTACAGCAGGCGCCCATCTTGACCCAGAGCGTGCGCCCCACAGACCAAGAGGACCTGGGACGAGAGAGTGCTGCGTCAGTGGCCAGGGAGGCACAGGCACACGGCTTCTTCCCCCGACCATGCCCTAGTCCAGGCCACCAGGGCTGTCACAATAGCTGATAGGCTCTCCCAGCCTCAACTCCTGCCCCAGCACACAGCCCCTCCTCTACTTGGCCGCCAGAATGCCCTTAAAAAAAATAATAATAATGCAAACCAGACCATTTCTCCTGCTAAAAGCCCTCTGCCTTCCATCGCACTTAAAGGAGAAACTGGTCTCCTTGGCATGGCCGATGGGTCTGTGTTATCTTCCTAACTCACTTCCTTAGGCCTTCTGTAAGGGCCCCCGCTGTGTTCCTCAAACACCCTAAGCACACTCCTACCCCAGGGCCTTTGCACGATCCCCTCTCCCTGCTTCGTTTTCCCACTGCATTCACCACTATGTTGTTTACCTTCCCCCACCCACTGGAATGTGACCTCCAGGAGCACGGGCTCCCGTCTCTTTCACCATCCTTGTCTCTAGAACAGGGCCTGGCATAAGTAAAACACACAAATGTTTTCTGAATGAATGGATGAATAGATCAAGGGTTGGTAAACTATGGTTCCTGGGCCAAATGTGGCTCACTGCCTAGTCTTCTTTATAAATAAATTTTTACTTGACGATGGCCACACCCATTCATTTACATAGTGATGGTGGCTTTCATGACATAATGGCAGACTGTATGGTTTGCAAAGCCTGGAAATATTTACTGCCTGGCCCTTTACCGAACAAATTTGTGACCCATGGATGGGTGGATGGATGGAAGGGAGGTAGGGAAGGAGGCACAACCGACCAGCTAACAAACCCAGGAGGGACGTTTTGGGGAAAGGGGTCCCAATACCTCACCTCTGTGGTGACAGCGGCTTTTGTTTGTGTGTTAAGTGCTCTCCCTGTGTCACATTTCTTAAATCTCACAATTACCCTACATGCTGGAACCTGTTGCTTCTCACATTCGTCAGATGAAACACTGGATGTTCAGACAAGAGACGTGCCCGGCCCATGGTCACCCAGCCAGCGAACGGCAGAACCCTGGTGTCGGCATCCAGCTGTCTCCCTCACGCCCCTGCACGCGGTGGGTGCCCTCCTCACCCCTTATGGGTCCCTGGGCCCCTTTCCCAGGACAGACTCACCCTGGGCAGGTCCCAGAGCCCCAGGTGCAGGGAATGGCGGAGCCACTGGCACAGTTGGTCTCCACCCCTCCCGGAAGCTGTGTGGTGCAGGCTGGGGGCTGTATCCAGCAGGGCCCGGCGTGGGTCGTGTCTGCCCGGACGGCCGATGCCTCTGGAACGAGAGGCCACCATGTGCCAGGGACTCAACACAAAATTCAGACGCTACACCCTCAGCCACCATACGCTCAATATCCTCCCTTCGCTGTCCCCTTGGGAGCCCCAAATCTCCACTCCTGCAATGAGACTTTGTATGTCCCCCACCAAGAGGTGGAACCTGTTTCCCCAGCCCTTGAACCTGGGCTGGTCGTGTGATTTACTACGTAATATGTGACACTCGCATTGCCTTCAGATGCCCCAGCGCCCACTCGCTCTCTGGGATCCCTGTCCAGCCACCAGGAGAACAAACCCAGGCTGGCCTGCCAGGCGGTGACACCACGTCGAGAGCCTGGATGTTGCAGCCGAGGCTGCCCTAGCTCAGCTGACAGCCAGCCTGCCCAAAACAAGCCAAGAGCAGAGAGCTGCCTTCCTAACCTGGGCTGCCCTGATGCCCGAGTGAGACCAGGCTGCAAAACTGCCCCACAGGCTCCCCAGCAAGGACCAGGGCTTATGGTTGCAAGCCACTGAGTTTTGGGACACCTGTGATACATAATATGTGACTGATGCAGTCCCCTATCCAGCAGCCTGTGTCACTCTCAGGTTCCTCACACTCACGGTTACCCAGACCCCTTTGGATGCCCCACACCCGCCTGGGCCACAGTCAGCTGTTCTGTGTTCTCTTTCCCTCCTGGGGTGTGACACAAATGGTACCCCCATAGGTGAGGCCTCATCAGCCAGAAAATCCGGCCCTAGATTTTCATCCCTCAGGCCACGTCCAGCTGCCCTGGCCTCCTGCCCGACTTGACCTGATCCTGTAAAGCCCTCAGTTGGTCCCCCAGAGCAGGAATCCACCCAAGACCTCACAGCAGACAATGGCCACCTTGGCGACCTCTGAGCTCTCTGGAAGGGGTGCCGCCTGTCGCTATCCAGGCTCCCGGGAGCTGTGCCCAGAGACTAGGGCACTAGCTTCCTGAGGCTTCATCCAGTGTTCAGTCCACAGAGCACTGACCACATCCATGCGTCCCATATGCAGAGCCATAGCCTTCACTCCCTCCACCCCTGACCTGCCAAGTCCACGCTCTGTACCCACACAGCAGGGTCCTCAGGCTGCTCAGCCCACCTATGGGCCCCCCCAGTGTGCACACATGCACGCGCGCACACACACATACGTGCACACTGCCTTGGCGAGCTGAGGGTCTACTCATTTCTTCTGCCACGCAGGGCTAATGTCTGGCAACTGTGACCCGTGGCGGGGAGTGCCACCAGACCACCCAGCAGGCCGTGCCCTGGGGCTGGGGTCTGCACTGTGTCTCCTGCTTGGTAGGCCCCTTAGTGCTGGGAATAAGGAGACTCCCCAAACAGAAACCAACCGTCTGTGCGGCTGCCTCCCTTCCAGGGGGCCTAATTCCTGGAGGACCGCAGGGGTCACAGGTACCTTCAAGGGGCCACTGTGGGAAGCCCCGTGGGACGGCACTCACCTCCCCTGCCAACCTTCAGTAGGTCAGCCTCAGCTCCAGAACCCCCCGGGGATGCTGGGGTTGCCACGCCTTCCGTGCCCTGGCCCCGCTTCCTGGTCACACTCAGGATAAAACCCAACTCCTTATTGGGGGTGACACCCTGTGTGACCCAGATCCTTCAACCTCTCCCCCCTTCTCTCCTCTCCCTTGGTCCTCCTTCCAGTCCCCTCCAGCCACACCAGCCTCACCACTGTTGCTCAGCCCACCAAGCTTATTCCCACCACAGGGCCTTTGCACCTGCTGTTCCTTCTCCCTGCAACGCCTCTCCTCAGATCGTTACCACAGCCAGCTTCTTGTCACTCAGGGCTCGGGTTGAACACCACCTCTTCAGAGAGACCTTCCCAGGCCACCCCACCTACAGGAAACCCCCCCCCATATCATACCCTGTTTTTACAGCACTTCCCACTCTTGGAAACTGTCACACTCGACATTTTCTCATTCACATGTGTGTCCGTGCTCACTGCCTATCTCCCAGAGGGCAGGGACCTGGGCCACCGTATTTCCTGACAGATGCGCAGTGCCGGTAACAAGCAGGCGCTCAGTGATGGTTTGCTGAGTAAATGAGAGAGAGAATGGGCCGCCGGCGGCCTCTCGGACACTCACCCTGCAGGCCAAGGTTCCTGGCAGGCTTGGGAAAGGGCCCAGAGAGGCTCCCGCTGAGGGCCGCCTCCTGGCCATCTTCCGCGACACTTCCTGTGGACACAGATGCCACAGGCTCGTACAAGGTCTCCAGGACCAGATCCCTTGGAAGGGCGCTGAATTGGAAGAGGAAGGCGGAGCTAGGTCCTTGGGAACGCTGGCCTGTGTCCCTGCTGGGGGTAGGAAAAGAGAGAAGCTTTCAGAAGAGGAAGCACACGGGGCACTGTGGAGCACTACAGTTTACTGAACTGTTATATACAAGGTCAAAAAGCCAGATGCTTCTGGGGATGAGCAGATAATGTAAAGAAGGGGAGTGCGGGGATGGAAGGAGTGTGACAAACAGAAGGCTGCGTGTCCCTATAAAAAGGACAGCAGCTTCTCAGCTCCCCTTCTAAGCTGTGTGGCCTTGGGTCAGTTTCCTAACCTCTCTGAGCCTCAATGTCATTATTCATAAAATGGGGCAAGAATAATGGGAGTGGTAGCCCAGGGCTAGACCATGTGGGAGCTTTTGCAGTTGGTGGTAGGATTTCTCAAACATTTAGTGAGCAGGTATTATGTTCCTGACCCCGTGCTGAGCATTAGGATACAAGGATAGCCAAGACCTGGTCCTGGCCTTTCAGGAGCTCTGAGGCTGGTGGTGAGACAGTCACAGAGACAGAAAATGGTGGGACAATGTGACAAGGGTCGCCACAAAAGTATTCAAGGCAGAAGGGACAGCCTGTGCAAAGGCTCAGAAAGGGACACTCCCTACTGGTGGCTGCCACAGTTGGAGGGTGGCTCCAGGGTACCACAGGGGGACTGCTGGGAGGAGGAGGGGCGTTTACCCTTAAACGTCTCTAAAACGCATTGCTACTGCCCCTACCTTGGTCCAAGACACCATTCTTTCTCACCCTGCCTACCATGGTGGCTTCTTCACGGGTGTTTCTGCTGCCCCTTGCAGCTTCCTGCCAGCACAGCAGCCAGAGGGATCTGAAAGCATCGTTTGGATCACGTCCTCAAAGGCTTGCAATTGCAGGGAGAATAAAATCCAAACTCCTCCCTCTGGCCCACCATGCCTCCACTACCTTCTACTGTTTCCCTCCTCACTTATTCCCTCCAGACCAGAGGACATTCCTCAAAATGCCAAACTGATTCCTGCCCCAGGCCCTTTGCACGTGTTGTTCTCTCTGCCTGGACAGGCCTTCCACCAGATTTTCCAATGACTCACACTTATCATCCTGGCCCAGCTCAAATGTTACCTCTTTAGCAGGGCCTTTCCTGGCCACCTAATCTAAATAACTCCCTGATCTCTTTCACTCATATCACCCGTTTTGTTTTCTCTATAGTATGTATCACCATCTAGTGTATTTTCTTATTCACTTATGTGATTTTATTTTTCTAGTGATTTCCCCCACTAAACTGTACACTTGGTAAGAGGAAGGACTCATCAATCCTGTTCTAGGCAATAGCCCCAGCTTCCGGAAGGGCCTGGCCTGGCACCTAGTAGATGCTCAGTAAGTACTGCACAAGGAAGGGAGGGAGGAAAAGAGGACATCGAGCCCACCTCAGAATCCACTCTGTCCAGTTCTACCCACTTCACAGCCCTGCCTGCATTGGTCCTCCTGGGAACCAGGACAATTCCTCTTTTCTCAAAGGGCTGTCCCAGGAGCCTCCCTCCATCCCTGGCTACTCTCCACGCACCTGGGGAAGGTCTGTTCCAGCTTGATGATGTTGGTGTATCTGGCCTTAGCAGCCTCCAGCCTGGTGCTGATGTAAAAACGAGGTTCCTGCTCCGCCAAGATGAATGTGCTCTTGGCCTCGCCCTTGGAGCACCGCACCTGGATCAGAAGAAAAGCAAGTGAGAGATCGCATCCAGTCTCTGATGGAACATTCAGGAAGATGCTGTTCCAGCCTGTAGGCTCTGCCTCCCGAAGCCCCAGGCCTGAGACACCTGCAGCTGCCTGGACTGCATGAACTCTGATGAAATGAGGGTCCCCGGCCTCAGTGTAGGCCACCAGGGGTGGTCATGACAACAATCTCCCCTTGTCCTTCATGCTACGACACTGACTTGGGGCCTGGAGGCAAGAATTCTAGTCGTACTACCATGTAGACAGCAGGGGGCAGCCTAGCACAGAGGACAAGGCACAGGCATCGCCTCAAAATGTCCCCGGCTCCAATTCTGACTCTTACAGGGTGAATGACCTCTGGCTACTTCCTTAACCACCTGAGCGTATTATTATTAATGTGATGACATGGAAACTGCATGAAATAATGTGCTAACCTCTAGGCTGGCTGAATAGCAGAATCACTTAGGGCTCTTGCTAAAAATACAGGTTCTGGGCCCCCACCTAAGAACGGCAAAACCAGAAGCTCTGGGAACGGGGTTGAGAACTGGTATTTTTAAGAGCTCCCCAGAAGCATCATTACCCAAGTGATACCCCTGTCACGTGATCCACCCGAATCTCGCCTTGAGCAAACAGACAGACAGATCCAAGCGGAGGATGCTTTGCAAAACTGCCTAGACACTTCAAAATTGTCAATGCTGGAATTTTTCTCTGAGGTGGTTAATGACAACGAAATTTCAGAGGAAGTATATCAATATCTGTAAGTTACTTGCAAATGCATCAAAAAATTAAGATGGATGGGATGCTATGTGATAAAGCAAGCGGAGGGAAACATGAGTGAGAAAGTCTAGGTGGTAAGGGTGTTCATGATAAAATAGTTGTAATAAACTTTTACTGGAACACCGACCGCCATGCCCGCTTGTCTACATATTGTCTTTGGGTGCTTTTTTTGTTACAAGGGCAGAGCTGAGTCGTTGTGACAGAGACCATATTGGGTGTAAAGGCGAAAATATTTACTGTCTGGCCCTTTACACAAGTAAAAGTTTGCAGACCGCTGTACACGAAAGAGATGATGACTAAGTGCTCTGGGTCATCCTGGGTTGCACCCTGGATTTAAAACAAACAAAACAGCTTGAAAGAATGTTACTGGGACAACCGGGAAATGTTATCATGGACTGCATAAGAGTATTACCTCATCTGTAAAATTCCCTGCATTTTCACTTCTATTGGATTAGATAAGGAAATGGCCTCGTTATAGGAAATGCTCTCTGAGGTATTTAGGATCAAGAGGTAAGACGTCTCCAGAAACATCTCTGTATCAATGCTCAATAGTACTGAAAAAAGTGTGTGTGTGAATATACAAGTGTGTATAACATATAAGATTAATAGAAAGACGTAGCAAGATATTAACAATGGGTGAATGTTCAGTCTTACAATAACTTTCCTACAGGTTGGAAATTACTCAAAATAAAGATTGGGGGAAACTAAGAGGCTCCCTGAATGAGTGTGCAGGTGCAGTGAGGTTGGGGAGCAGTGAAATCACGTGTAAGCATACTGGTGCAGGGCCTGACGCACAGTAGGTGCTCTGTAAGCAGACGTGGCCTGGGCCGGGCAGGCATTTGACAAAACTGAGGGGCTGGCAGGCTAATGAAGTGACCAGTTGGCAAGGGTAATCACACACGCACGCAGTTATTCATTCACTCTGTATCTTTCACTGAACACCTACTGCGTGCTGGGCCCGGGCCAGGGCACACCCTCCAGGAGCTCCTGATTTGGGGAAGTGGGGCAAACAGGGAAACACACAATGCAGCACAGAGGGAGGGAGAACCCTGGCCTGGGCCTCACAGGCCCTCCTGTCTACCTCTGGGACCCCCAGATGCCACACGCAGGGGAGATGCATGACTGAGGGATGTCCTGGGGGGTCCAGAGGCCAGATGGGAATGGAATTCGTGGACAAGGGCAGGACAACACACAGAGACCCTAGGCTGTGGGAAGGTAGACGGGACACCTGGGAGGCAGTGCTGGCGGAGCTCAATGCCTGCGTCATCTGATCCCACTGCCGGGACCATGCCAGGTTGGGTGAGGCGGCGCCAGGCGCCAGGCACTGGGCGGGCAGGCCTCCCCTGGCTCCTGAGGGTCTCATGGGCCTGGCTGGGGGCCACGGGGGCTGGCCCAGGAATGTAAACCTGGGCATGTTTGGGAAAGCTGGAGCCAGGGGTTTCCGAGGGCGGCCCATAGGGGCTTGCTGGAGGCCGGCGGACAGATGTGGATGTGTTAACACTCCCCAGCGGGGCCTGGACTACGCAGCCCCCTCCTGCCTTGGGCAGGGCATCTGGAACCAGTTAAGAGGCTCAGGGCGGCCGGGCACGGTTACCTTGGCTGAGGCTGAGGTTCTGCTGGGGCAGCAGCCTCGGAGGGCGGGGAGGCCATGCCGACCTGAGAGCTGCAGCTCTTTGCTGCAAGAAAGGAAAGAGAGGGCTAGAGGCCTGGCAGGAGGGCACGCTGTCCAGGGCCCAAGGCCTGGGCACAACCAAGTCAACCACCCCCGCAGAGGGTCAGGGAGCCACAAACACAGCAGCCCAACCAAGGGCCAGCCATTCACCTGCCTCGAGGCCTGAGGCCGTGCAGTGTAGTGGTTAGGGCTGGAGTCTGGTGCCAGGCGACCTGCACTTGCATCCCAGCTGGGCCTCAGCCTAGGTCTGGCATATTGGGCAAGTTCCTTAGCTGCTCTATCTGCGCCTCGGTTTCCCCTTCATTGTAGGGGCTAGAGCAGTACTGGGTGGCATGTCTCCTGTGGGCCCCTCCCGGCAGCCTAGCCACAAAGCACCCCCCCCCTCACCCCTCCAGGCCAGGTGCTAATGGCTGCCCACTGTTGCTGGTGCCGGGGTGCTGCCTCATCCTGGTGGCTCCCCTACACCGGGGTGTCTCAGCCTCAACGCGACTGCCACCTGGGCCGTATAATCATTGTTCTGGGCTGATCTATGCACTATGGGAGGCTTAGCAGGATCTTGGGTCCCCTCCCCAGCTACAACTACCAGGAATTTCCTCAGCCATTGCCAAATGTCCCTGGGTGGGCAAACTGGCCCCCAGGTGAGAACCGCTGGTCAACACCGTTAACAGGTGGCTTATTCACCTCCCTCAGTGACCTGGTACGAGTGCCAGAGCCTGGCTGCTGGCCCACCTGGCTATTCATATATGTGTCAGACCACTGGGCACTGTGCCAGGCACCTAGTAGGCTCGCAGACTGAAGAGCTATAGTAGTTATTAATATGTATTTGAATCCTTGGGTACTTTATATTGGGGGGCCAAGGACTCCTCATTCACATCCTGATCCCAAAGATGAAGGTTATTTTAGTAGCTGTGTGACCTTGGGCAAGTCACTGTGCCTCTCTGAGCCTCTCTTTCCACATCTGTGCAGCGGGGCTGACGGGAGGATTGAAGCAGGTCCTGGGTGTTGGGGCCCGGCACACAGGTGGCTCCCTCACCCATTCCTTGCCTCTTGGTGGTTCCCAGAGCCACAGAGTACCCCTCACCTGAGCTCCCAGTTCCGGCCACAGATGTCAAGGACCAGGCTGGTGTGAGAATCACGGGTCAGCTGCAGGGAGGCCCTCCTCTCTTCTCCTGCCCAGAACACAAGCTTGGGGAGGGGGCAGGCTGTGAGGCATGGAGATGGGGGGACCTGGGAGCCTCACAGGCCAGGCTATTCTCTGCGGCCCCAGCATGCCCCTGTCCCCTAGGCCAGCATGGCAGTTGCCGAGCAGGCCCAGGCCTTCCTAATACCCCTGGGACAGTGAGCACCTGTGGGCAGCGCCCTGGTCTGCTCCCTCATTGCAGCCCAGGTTGGCGGTGCCCTCTGTGGGCCCCCAATGCTGACCTGTGCCCCAGACATCAGCAAAGCATGAGCTCTGTGCAGATCTCACCACCACCCAGCCCCAGGAAAGGGATTCAGATGAAGTCAGGGGAGAAAGAGGCTCACGCCTGCTCCGTTGTGGGGTACAATGACTCAAACCCTCTGCATGAGGGGTGACATCCTGGCCCCCTAGGCCTCTGGGACCTGTCCTTGATACCATGGTGGGGGAGCGGGGAACCACTGGATAATCCAAAACAGGGGGCTATAAACAAGCCTCGGGTGCCTGGCTCCAAATGTGCTCTGACTCATGAAGGAGCGGGGGCCCCAGCCAGGCAAGGCGACTTTACGCCAAGTGACAGTGAGCGGCGCGTGACGTGACCCCTGCAGTGGGGGCCACAGCAGATTCCCCTTCTCAGAGGTGGGAGGGCACCATGGGAGAGGCCCGGGGGCCAGGCCAGAGTCCCTATTTCGTTGCCTACCTGCTTCGTGACCTTCAGCAAGTCACCTACACCCTCATATGTGACCCAGAGATGACAACGGTGATTACAATGGCCACTATTATCACCACAACCACAGAGGCTTCTAAAGCATCGACTCTATCCGATACACACCATCCTAGGGGCATTACTGGTGTTAGCTCACTTCATCCTCACAGACCATGCTATTAGTGCAGTGTTATCCCCGTTTCACAGGCGAGGAGACTGAGGGCAGAGAGAGGGTGAGGGATTGGCCCAAGGCCACGCAGCCAGCAAGTGGCAGAGCCGGGATCTGACCTCCAGAGATGGAATTCATAAGAACTCTGTCACCCTGCCTCTCACTGGGGTGTTAGGAGGAGGAACTGAATCAACACACGGCAAGCCTTTAGAACAGTGCCGAGCACACAGTAGGCGCTCTACAAACAGAAGCTGGGCTTTGATTCTGACTCAAGAGTCCAAGAGCAGAAAAGGCGCAGGAGCCGGGACACAGGGCTCCAGGAGTTCAGTCCTCACGGCTGGGATACAGGGGTTGCTCAGCAGACACTGGTTGCAACGCTTATTAATAAAGCCTTTACAAAATGTGAAGTGCTGGAGAGACACAAGGCAAGAGCATCCCCATCAACTGTGCACATAGTGGGTCCTCTGCACACCGGACTCAGCGTACCTTGCTTCCCAGCTCAGGGACACACCCTGAAGATGCCGGTGGGATGGACCCTGCACAAGCCTTTCACGTCTCTGAGCCCCTGTGACATCGCCTGTCACGAGGAGTCCCTCAACCTTGGCCTGGCCGTCTCCTCTCATTGGGGCTGCTGCTGAAACGATACCTCCTCCGAGTAGCTTCCCCTGCTTGCCCATCGAAAGTACCTCCCAACCCTTCCTTCTCCCTCCCTGGCCAGAAGGTCAGCCCCACGGGGGCAGGGCCGTGAATCTGTTTTGGTCCCTGCTCGGTCCCCAGTGCTTAGCACAGTTGACACACACCAAGTGTCCAGTATTTACTGAAGGAACGAACAAACGAATGAATGCTTCTCTTCAGGGTTGATCAAATATCAAATCAACATCAAACGATATCAACCTGCCGCTCACCCGGCCCAGGCTGGAGGGTCCCCCCATAGCCCTTCATGGGCATCTCTTCCAGTCCCCTGCCTCTGAGCTGCACTATACCTCATTTCTGCAGGCAGGTGGAAACTCTCCCGAAAAGCAGACTCTAGGGTCTGGACCCCACGGTCAGGAGTTTATTCTTATTATTCTTTGACTTATACTCCTCCACCGGCAGTTAGAAATGGCTTTCCAAGGTAAACAGATGGAGCCCAGCCCATGTCCGAGGCCGCTCGCTGCTCCGGCCCAAGTGCCACCTGCCCAGCCTCATCACCTGCCATCTGGGCCCATCAGGGCGGGTGGCACTCCCAGGCAGACGCGGACAAGCCTGGCAGCTCTGAGCCTCAATTTCCTCATCCATCAGGTAAGCACAGCCCACCCATCTTGAGGGACGTGGCCAAGATTAACTGGGATAACACACCTGAGAAGACCTGCCCATGGGGCACACAGTAGGTCTCAGGAAATGCTCGTTTCCTTTCTTCATTATGCAATATTCTACCATGTGCACCTACTAAGTGAGGGGCATGAGGAGTTAGGGGACACATGTTGAAGGGGGTAGTCTCCATGCCTGGGGAGTTTCACGACTATTGGGGACACCAAGAATGTTAATGCCAGGCGGAAAACACCTCTTGAAGGCGTGGGATGGTCAAAATGTGGTCAGCAACAGAGGACATGAGAGGTCACCCTGGTTGGAGGTGATCCCACATCAGGCGTCCTGGGGGCTGGGAACCAGGGCGGTGTGAGCAAGGTCATCCCTGAGGTAACTGTCCCATCACTTAACCACCAGGTCCCTGGAGCAGTCCATGAGGTCAGCTCACTAAGACACGCCCCCCCCCCCCCCCGTCTGATCTGCATCCTCAGTCACCCTGCAGGAGGCTAACGGCCAAGGATGGAGGGATGGGGACCAGGAGATGATGGCCCACCCATGGGTCCTGATCTCCATAGTCCACATGGGGCCACAGGGTGACTCTGGAGTCACTGCCTGGGTTCAAGACCAGACTTCTTACCTAACTAGCTGTGTGGCTTGGGACAAGTGGCTCACCCCTGAGCTTCCATTTCTCCCCTGCAGAACGGGGACGGCGTTACTAACCCCCACCTCATATGTTCAGGCATTCCTTCAACAGATGTTTAATTGAACACCTACTATATGCCACTCCACAAAATAGACAAAAACACCCCTAACCTTGTGGAGTGTACATTGTAATGTGGGGTGGGTAGAAGACAGGCAATGAGAAATAAAGATATTTAATAAGTAAGTTATATAGTCTGTTAGAATGACAAAGCCAGGAAGAGGGGTGGGGAGCGCTAGAAGGAAGTGGGGGTACAAACACATAGGATGGGTGGAAAGGTCTCATGGAGGATGTAACATTTGAAAAATATCCAAAGGAGGTGAGGGAGTAAGCCAAGCAGATGTGTAAAAGAAGAGCGTTTCAGGCAGAGGGGGCAGCCTGTGCAAAGGCCCTGAGGCTACATACTGAATGATTCCAACTGCATCACTCTGGAAAAAAAGCAAACCCAAAAGGACAGTAAAAAGCTCAGAGGTGGCTGCGGGTTAAGGGAGAGGGAGGGATGAACAGGTGGAGCATGGGGATTTTTAGGGCATTGAAACTATTCTGTCTGATACAGTAAAGGTAGACATATGACATTATGCACTTGGCAAAACCCGTAGAACTGTATGACACGCAGGGTGAGCCCCAATGTAAACTACGGGCTTTAGTTAATAATAATAATGTGTTAATATTGGGTCATCAGTTGTACCAAATGTACAACACTAACGCAAGATATTAATAAAGGGGAAACGGGGTGGGAGGGGGTATGTGGGAACTCTGTGCTTTCCCCCCAATCTTTCTATAAACCTAAAACCTCCAAACAGTGAAGTGTATGAATTTTTTTTAAAGTATGCCTGGGATCCCCCAACCAATAGGCTCACATCCCTGGGCTGGAGGTTGAAAACCTCCCCAGGGGATTCCAACGTGTGGCTGGGGCTGAGAACTTCTAGGCTTCACCCCTGCTTTCTCTGACTGGTCTCCACAGGCTGAGGGGTTCAGCAACCCATGCACGTTGAAAGGGGGCGATATCGCCCTTCCCAAATGCAAAAATTGATTCTTGGATGGGGCGGGGGGTGTGTATAAAAAAACTTACTCTTTTAATATATGAAGCATAGATATACATACAGCCCATAAACAGAAGTCAAATACATCTGTAGAATTCATAAAGGGGGTGATTTGGGGGGAAAAAAGTCTAAAAAGGCCCCTTAGAGGGACAATAATGAAAATGGGTTTAGAAACATGGGCATAGAGATACCCTGGGGGAGTTTCAAGGGCTGGGGCAGAGGTTGAGGAGGCCCCTATTCATCCCGAGATAATGTGAACAAAGGGTTCTGTTGCTTTAAAATAGTAATCATGAAGTCTGAACCCATTAGATGGCTCAGCAGCCAAGCTTCCAGGGAGATCCCTCCTCTCCCAGGTGGGTCCCCAGGCAGCATGGACTCTGCAGCCAGACCACCTGGGATTCCGACCAAGATCCCACTTACGTGCTCAGTGACCTTGGGCAAGTCACATCGCCTCTCCATGTGTCAGACTCTCATCTGCAAAATGGTGTGACAGTGGCCCCCACGAGATGACCCAGGTAAAGGGTTTAGAGCAGAGCCCAGTGCAGGACAAACACTCAACAGACATCAGCTCCTCTTACAACTGAACTGAGTACAGTGACTGCATGGCCTTGAATCTGAGATGCCAGAGGCCCTCAGATGCGCCTCGACTTTATGGACCACCTTGAAAGCGAAAGGCTGCTAATGAAACGACGAACCCGTGTCGGTTTGAAGACACATCCTGATCTCACACGTGTCAACACGTGAGAAAACGTGCATCTTAGAATGATCAGTTTCCATAAGTCAGAGTCCTTCTCAGGCTCCATTCCGAGACCCGCCAGCCCAGGGCTGAGCACACAGCAGGCATTTAGAAATTGCTATCACTGGGATTACCTGTCTACACCTCCGCCTCCCCCAGCCCACCTGCTAATTCCTGTGTACACAGCACACAATGCTAGCTCAGCAAAGCAACACACATATGGGTGATTTCTAAGGACTGGGCCCTGGGGAGCTGAGCACAGCCTTTGCCTGGTCTTCTTTCTCTGCCCCTTGATTTCCTTGTAGAGTGGAATCCTTTCAATGTTTCTACCCTACACTGGGCAACATACCCTGGGGTCAAAAAAAGGATCATACAGGCTTCTCCCAAACCCAACTACAAGATGCGGTTTAGAGGGCAATTCTGTCTCCATTTTAAGGGTGAAATGTGATCCTTTCTCTCTCTCTCTCTCTCTCTCTCTCTCTCTCTCTCTCTCTCTCTCTCACACACACACACACACACACACACACACACACACACACACACGGAGCTCAAAATTTTTCTCGCCTGGACAATCACTTCCAAATGATGGATTTGGAAGCCTCCCTTCCATCTGTTCTTGATTCGGGAAGGGCTGTCTGGTTAAGTGTAACATCGTGGTGTGGCCCCCCATCTCCTCCCTCCCTGGGGCTTCCATCCTCCCTTCCTTCCTCCCCATCTCCCAGCAAGCTGGCTGCTCCAAGACAATACTTGGCAGGCAATTCAAGGTCATCCCAAAGGGACCATCTTCCATACCTATAAGTTTGGAGGAAATGTAGGTCCGCGGGGATGTGTGAGCTAGAAGATCTGACCACCCAGTGGGAGTCAGATCTATTCAGCTGGACCGAGACCTGCTGGGAAGGGGACTTGGAGAAGGGGATCAGAGGGAGCAGAGGAGTGAGATGTAGGAGTTTGGGGGGTGACTGGCTACACCCAAGAAAGGACAAGTCATCCCAGAGTTTGCCCAAAGCTGAGGCCCAACAGAAGATGTCAGAAACCTCCGTCCTTGCTTGACGTTTCTCAGCCTTAAATCTTACCCAGTCTGTCTTACTAAGAAGCTTGAGAAGTGAGGCGCCAGGCAATGGGCTGAGAGGACAGCTCTGGGACCCCAGGCCCCCAATTTCCCCTGCTATGGTGCCTGCGCACACCTCCCATATCCATGGCGGCTCTCTATTTGACCTTGACCATGAACAGGCACTGGGCTTCTGGCCTTACAATTATCACCTCATTTAATCCTCACCACTGCTCTCATATTATTAGCTAGAAAACACTGAGGCTGAATGGGGTTGAGTCATTTACCCAAGGTCACACAGCTCGTCAGCAGTGGAGGTAGGATTTGAACTTGAAAGATCCTTGGAAATGGAGACGGAAGCACAGCCATCTGCGCCTCCCCAGTACCTAGCCAAGAGCCTGGCATGCAACAGAGACACATTCTGCATATAACGATGAATAGACAAATATACCTACAGTGACTGTTATATATTCGCCAAACAGCATTTTGTTTTTCTCCTGGACACACAGCTAAAACTACATTTCCAGCCTCCCTTGCCGCTGGGTGGGGTCATATGATGAGTTCTGGCCAATGGAATGTGGGCGGGAGTGACACGGACTACTTATGGACCTGGGCCAAGAAAACCCCTGCATAACTCTCAGGCTGTCTTTCCCCATCCGCCAGCCAGCCAGCAGGGCAGAGCCACAAGGTGGAGGGAGCCTGGATCCCCGAGTGACTACATAGAGCAGAGCTGCACTGGACTGTGATGTAACTGGGGACTAAACTTTCACGGTAAAGCTAACTTAAGTTACGATAGTCAGCGCGTCCTAATTAAGCACATGCACACTAGGCTGTGTGCTGTCGCCTTCCCACGGCCACCCTGCCACCTCCTTAGCCATCCCATATATGACACCTGTACTCTCACAGTAAAACCCCGCCTCCCTCAGCAAGGGGGCAGAACTTGGCCTCCCCACCTAAGCTGTGACATTGCTGTTGATGGCAGCTTTTCTGTCCACACTGCAGTCAAATGTTCCCTGGGGACTCCATCTGAAGACAACATGTCCTGTCCAAACTCAGGGCCTGGGGGAACCTCAGCTAGGAAGAAACACACAGCACTCTTTACTTTCACCAACAGTTGAGCTCTGCTTGGAAGCCACAGACCGACATTTGCCCGACCTGGGACGAGTACCTGGGGGAAGTGAGCCACGTCCAGGGCCATGCTGTAAGATCTGTCATGGTGCAGACCCTTTAAGGGCAGCATGACTTCCTGGGTGACTTTCAAAGTGGCCTCCACCTCCCTGTTCTTAGCCTGGGTGTGCAAGAACCAGAGACAGTGAGAGAGGTTACCTCCCATCTCTAAGTGGCTGCAGAAGCCACACTTGCAACCCAGCAGTCAGAAGAAAGTGGTCGCAAGGTTGAAGGGTTAAAGCACAGCCTATACTGTTCCATGCAAGGGACAGAAAGTGGGGACAGGTGCATGTGGGGTCTTTCAAACAGGGATGGTAAACTCCAGTGCCCACATGTAGGGTTAGTGGGGGTGGGCTTGAGGAGGCAAACTTAAATGCCCGTGTCTCATTCAAAGGGAGTGCCCTGGTGTTACTCCTTTTTGTTCACTGCTGGTTCCTAATACTCAGCACAGGTCCGGGCACATAGTAAGTGCTCAACAAATATTTGGAAGACTGAGGAATCACTAGTTGTAGTCTGAAACTCCAAGCCAAAGCCATGCTGGAGTGGAATAATGTTTAATTCACAGTGTTGCAGGCAGAATAATA